ATCCCCCTTAACATATTGTAACCCTGGGATAGGCATCCCCCTTAACACACTGTAACTTTGGGATAGGCATCCCCCTTAACACACTGTAACCCTGGAATAGGCATTGTCTTAACACACTATAATCCTGGATTGGAGTTGAAGCCTCACAAACTCCAGCTGATTCTGCCCAGAGCTCACCAAAAAGAGTGACTGACTTGGACTTAAGTGCCAGAGAACAGAGGTAACACAGCCCCAGGGCAGCCTGGGAAAGCCCATCAGACCTCACTGACCACAAGACAGGAGGATAACTCTTGGAATCGGCACATAAGCATCTCCCCCTCATTTACACATTGTGAAATCATCACCGTGACCATGTCCCTCATGTGAGCCTTGTTCAGATCCCGGGGAGGGCAGGGAGCAATGGCTCATCTGATTTAACAGGGACCGTGCCTTTGTATAACCATCTGGCTGCACAGCAGGTCTTGTGTAAGAGGTCACTAGAGTGTATCCAGGAATCAGCAGATGGATTCTAGCTCCGATATGGTGGAATCCAGATTCTCCAGCCATGCATCCAGCTCTGCCACTCCTAAAGATGCAAGAGGATTTTCTCCTAACATGAGACACTTTTCACCCAGAGTCATCATTAAAGCTAGAGCGCCATCAGCTCTCTGCTCCAGAATCTTAGAGGCTTCACAGCTCAGGGACCCACAAGCATTTCGTCACCTCTCCTCTAAAAGAGCTCTGTGCTAGAGAAGCCAACCAGCCTCTAACCTACCATAGTAACCAAGAAGCCCAGTCTCACTCCCTCTGAGGCCGCTTCCCCCTGTGCAGCCCCTGGGTTACTATGGAGGACACTGAGCCACTGGCCTTCCCCTTTGCTATTCATTGTCCAGAGAGGACCTCCCTCCCTGACCTTCACCATCTCCTCAGACCTTGCAACTGAAAGAGACACAGAAATGCCCTTTTTGACAGTTCCGTTCACCTGCGCGAACTTGACCTCAGAAGCCCACCAAGGTTACTCACGAGGCCACAGCAGTGAACCTCCAAAAATACAGCAGTCACCTGCCTACCACCACCACCACCAGCCCCTACGCAGACAAAGTACACACAGGCTTACATTCTTCCCTCCTGCGGCCCCTCCCAGGAAGGCCCATCTCAGCCCAGAGTCTCTCCTCTCCTCTAGTATCACCTACCCCCAAACAAGCCCCAGCTGAAGAGGGGACCCTCCCCGTGAGTCACGTTATTTCCCTGACACCGATTGTTAGCAAATCCCTACACCAAATGGGTCAGAATGCCAAATGGGAAATTTTGGCCTGCTTTCTGAAGATAAGAAATACAATCAGCCAATCAATCAAAAAATAACAATTTAAAAAACAAAAAAAAACACCCCTCTTTGTTCTGTGGAATCTCTCAAGCCAATGGGAATGTGTAAATGAATGCATGAGTTCAAACTTTTTAAGACTTTTCTGGCAAAGAATGCGGGTGTCTTATGACCATCCCGGGTGATCAGTGGCTTGAAACCCTCTGAGGGCTCCATCGCACACAAACTTGTGTTGTGGGCGGCAGCCGTGCAGTGCTTGCCCAAGGCCAGTCAGAAGCTAGAAGCTGCCGCCCGCACTGACAGAATTTGACTCTGAACACCCTCCCCGCATCCCCAGGAGAATCCCCTTCCTGCCACCCACACCCAGCAGGCTCCTGAAACCTCCCCCAAAGTGGGGGAGTCTCTCCAGTCAAGGAAACGGCAACAGAACTTCCTTGGCAGCTGTCACTGAGAGGTACCAGCTTCACCCTGAGTGACTGTTTGCCTGATAAGGAAGTGTCTTCGCTCGCCTTTCAATTCTGGACCTGATGATGAATAACTGGAGATGAGGGAGGCCTCTGAGAGATGTGCTCAAAAAGACACAAAGCTCACCAGGAGATGTCAGATGGATGTGCGTGCAAGGCTCTCCAGGAATCTGCCAAGTGTAACTCGTCCTCCTTTGCTGTCAGAAGTGCCACCAGGGGCTGGAAGACACTTCTTCAATATGAAACATTGCTCCTGGCAGAGGAGAAGGAACGCACATGTGAGGTGCTCCACACAACCGAATGTTGTCAGGAGCTGTGGTGTCTGAGAACGCCCTGGTGGGGTGCCTGGAATGCTTGTTAGGAAGTGGAAAGTCATCTGCTAAGCAGGTATGGATTGATGAGAAAAGAAGCATTTGGCTTTTGGGAAAACTGAATCATGAGGAAGATTTAAAAATATGAGTCAGGACGGTCTGTGAAATGTTATGGTAACAGGCAAATCCTGGGCCAGCCAGATGGTCAGGTAAAGGCATTTGCCACTAAGCCTGACAACCTGAGTTCCAGCTCTTGGGACTGACAAGTTAGAAGGAGAGAACCGACTCCCACAAGTTGTCCTCTTCCTTAAGCACATATGCTGTGGCATGTGTACCCACACACATACACAAAAAAGTTAATGTATTGAAAATATTTTTAAAGTAAATCCTAAGGTCTTAAGATTAATCTTAAACCTGAAGCCTTAATATAACAATACAACAAAGATTCCTTTCTTGTTCACAAAAAAAGGGGGGAGGGGACCTATTAGGAGAGCCTCCTCCATCTGGCAGCTATGGCTCAAGAAACTCCTGACTATCAAGACAAAGGCAGACAAAGATGAAAAGGGACCGTGTAGCTAACTACCTGTGTGTACTAGCTATCATGGCTTCCACTCAGGAGCCACAAGATAGGGCCAGGCAGATGGCTCCTATGCATGCAATGGAGTTACAGCCTAGTAAACTTGTCACAAGTTTAAAGTATCATAAGCAAATGATGCACTTCAGTGTTCTGGAATAGTATTTTAAGCTGTGTTACATTTGTTTCTGCTGTGGAACATTTGTTTAATGATGCAAAGATGTGTCGCGTTCTTTTATGTTGCATTTGTTTAACTCTGTGAAGCTGTGTTACTTTGCCTGTCTAAAACACTTGATTGGTCTAATAAAGAGCTGAATGGCCAATAACAAGGCGGGAGAGAGAAATAGGCAGGGCTGGCAGGCAGAGAGAAAAAAGAGAGAGGAGGACGCCAGGGGTCAGCCACACAGTCAGACATGGAATAAGAAAGAAGAGATATACAGAAATAGAGAAAGGTAAAAAGCCCAGAAGCAAAAGGTAGATGGAATAATTTAAGAAAAGCTGGCTAGAAATAAACCTAGCTAAGACCAGGCATTCATAAGTATTAATAAGTCTTGTGTGATTATTTGGGAGCTGGGTGGCAGGCCTCCAAAGAGTACAAGGAGTTAAAA